AGGCAGACGCCCTGTCCCGGCGGTATGACACAGAGGAGAGGTCCATTGAGCCCACTCCCATACTGCCGGAGTCTTGTCTGGTGGCACCGGTGGTGTGGGAGGTTGATGCGGAAATCGAGCGGGCGTTACGCACCGACCCTACTCCTCCAGAGTGTCCAGTGGGGCGGACGTACGTTCCGCTCGAGATCCGTGATCGTCTCATATATTGGGCTCATACGTCACCCTCCTCTGGACATCCAGGTATTGGCCGGACAGTGCACTGCCTTAGTGTTAAGTACTGGTGGCCAACATTGGCTAGGGACGTGAGGGTTTATGTCTCCTCCTGCTCGGTGTGCGCTCAGTGTAAGGCGCCTAGACACCTGCCCAGGGGGAAGTTACAACCCCTGCCCATTCCACAACGGCCGTGGTCTCACCTCTCGGTAGACTTTGTCACGGACCTTCCCCCCTCTCAGGGGAATACCACTATTATGGTCGTTGTGGACCGGTTCTCTAAGGCCTGTCATCTCATCCCAATGCCGGGTCTCCCTACTGCCCTACAGACCGCTGAGGCTTTGTTTACCCACGTCTTCCGGCACTACTGTGTTCCCGAGGATATAGTGTCTGATCGGGGTCCCCAATTCACCTCTAGAGTCTGGAGGGCGTTCATGGAACGCTTGGGGGTCTAGGTTAGCCTTACCTCGGGTTTCCACCCTGAGAGTAATGGGCAGGTGGAGAGAGTGAACCAGGATGTGGGTAGGTTTCTGAGATCGTATTGCCAGGGCCGGCAGGAGGAGTGGTCGGGGTATATCCCCTGGGCAGAGATGGCCCAGAACTCTCTTCGCCACTCCTCTACTAACCTGACCCCTTTCCAGTGTGTGTTAGGGTATCAGCCGGTTCTGGCACCATGGCATCAGAGCCAGATCGAGGCTCCTGCGGTGGATGAGTGGTTTCGGCGCTCGGAGGAGACGTGGAACGCTGCACACGTACATCTGCAGCGGGCTATCCGTAGGCAGAAGGCGAGCGCCGATCTCCACCGCAGTGAGGGTCCAGTATACGCACCTGGAGATCGAGTCTGGCTCTCGACTCGAAACCTGCCCCTTCGCCTGCCCTGCCGGAAGCTTGGTCGGCGGTTTGTGGGCTCATTTAAAGTCCTGAGGAGATTGAACGAGGTATGTTACAAGTTACAACTGCCTAATGATTATCACATTAACCCCTCGTTCCATGTGTCTCTCCTCAGGCCGGTGGTAGCTGGTCCACTCCAGGACAGTGAGATAAGAGAGACTCCTCCGCCCCCACTGGACATCGAGGGGGCTCCGGCGTACTCAGTCCGGTCCATCGTGAATTCGAGACGTCGGATGGGGGGTCTACAATAGTGGGAGGGGTACGGAGTGAGAGGGGTACGGTCCGGAGGAACGGTGCTGGGTGCCTAGGAGGGACATTTTAGATCCCTCCCTCCTGACGGAGTTCCACCGTAGTCATCCCACGCGCCCTGCTCCGCGTCCTCCTGGCCGTCCCCGAGGCCGGGGTCGGTGCACGGCTGGAGCCGCGCGTCAAGGGGGGGGGTACTGTCACGAATACCGCCGAGGCTGCACCTCCTCCTCGCTCGGGCAGGCTTCGGCGTTCGTCGTCCCCGGAGTACTAGCTACTACCGCTTGTATGTTCTCGATGTTTGTTTGGTCTTGTCTAGTTGGTCGCACCTGTTTCATCTTCTGTATTGATTATGTCACCTATAAGTTTCCTTTGGTTTTGTTTGCAGTTGTGTGTTATTGTCCGCCTGTCGTTTGGTGTCAAGGTTGCGCGTGTTAGTGTCAAGGTGCGCGTGTTAGTTCGCCTCCGGTGTTTTCGAGGCCATTTACTTTGTATTGTTCATGAGTCTCAGTAAAGTCGTGTTGACTTATCCTCTGTGTCCTGCGCCTGACTTCACCACCGCATCCACATCAACAACGTGACAGTGTTGGATTTGCCCCAAACATAACGCTTCATATTCAAGAGATAAAGTTTTTCTTTGCCACATTTTTGCAGTTTTACTTTGTGCCTTGTTGCAAACAGGATGCATGTACAGGCTTCCTTCTTTTCACTCTGTCATTTAGATTAGTATTTTGGAGTAACTACAATGTTGTTGATCCATCCTCAGTTTTCTCCTATCACAGCCATTAAACTCTGTAACTGTTTTAAAGTCACCATTGGTATCATGGTGAAATCCCTGAGTGCTTTCCTTCCTCTCCGGCAACTGAGTTAGGAAAGACACCTGTATAGTGACTGGATGAATTGATACACCATCCAAAGTGTAATTAATCGCCATGCTCAAAGGGGTATTCAATGTCTGCTTTTTTTTCATATTTACCCAATAGGTGCCCTTCTTTGCAAGGCATTGGAAAACCTCCCTGGTCTTTGTGGTTGAATTTGTGTTTGATATGTACTGCTCGACTGAGTGACCTTACAGATAGAGTCCATTCTGAAAGTATTCAGACCACTAGACTTTTTCCACATTTTGTTATGTTACAGCCTTATTCTAAAATTGATTAAATCGGTTTTTTTCCCTTATCAGTCTACACACAATACCCCATGATGACAAAGCAAAAACAGGTTTTTAGAAATTATTGCAAATTTATAAAATAAAATAAAAACGGAAATATCACATTTACATAAGTATTCAGACCGTTTACTCAGTACCTTGTTGAAGCACCTTTTGCAGTGATTACAGCCTTGAGTCTTCTTGGGTATGACGTTACAAGCTTGGCACACCTGTATATGGGAAGTTTCTCCCAATCCTCTCTGCAGATCCTCTCAAGCTCTGTCAGGTTAGATGGGGAGCGTATTTTCAGGTCTCTCCAGAGATGTTCGATTGGGTTCAAGTCTGGGCTCTGGCTGGGCCACTCAAGGACATTCAGAGACTTGTCCCGAAGGCACTCCTGCATTGTCTTGGCTGTGTGCTTAGCGTCGTTGTCCTGTTGGAAGGTGAACCTTCGCACCAGTCTGAGGTCCTGAGAGCTCTGGAGCACATTTTCATCAAGGATCTCTCTGAACTTTGCTCCGTACATCTTTGCCTCGGTTTCCTCCAGACGTGACGCTTGGCATTTAGGCCAAAGAGTTCAATCTTGGTTTAATCAGATCAGAGAATTTTGTTTATCATGGTCTGAGAGTCTTTAGGTGCCTTTTGGCAAACTCCAAGCAGGCTGTCATGTGCCTTTTACTGAGGAGTGGCATCCGTCTGGCCACTCTACCATAAATGCCTGATTGTTGGAGTGCTGCAGAGATGATTGTCCTTTGGGAAGGTTCTCCCATCTCCACAGAGGAACTCTAGAGCTCTGTCAGAGTGACCATCGGGTTCTTGGTCACCTCCCTGACCAAGGCCCTTCTCCCCCGATTGCGGCCAGCTTTACGAAGAGTCTTGGTGGTTTCATTTAAGAACTTCTTCCATTTAAGAAAGATGGAGGCACTGTGTACCTTAAATGCTGCATAATTGTTTTGGTACCCCTACCCAGATCTGTGCCTCGACTCAATCCTGTCTTGGCGCTCTACGGACAATTCCTTCAACCACATGGCTTAGTTTTTTCTCTGACATGCACTGTCAACTGTGGGACCTTATATAGACAGGTGTGTGCCTTTCCAAATCATATCCAATCAATTGAATTTACCACAGGTGGACTCCAATCAAGTTGTAGAAACATCTCAAGGATGATCAATGGAAACAGGATGCACCTGAGCTCAATTTTGAGTCTCATAGCAAAGGGTCAAAATACTTACGTAAATAAGATTTTCTGTTTTTCATATTTTATAAATTTGCAAACATTTCTAAAAACCTGTTGTCACTTTGTCAATATGGGGTATTGTGTGTAGATTGCTGAGGATTTTGTTTTATTTAATCCATTTTAGAATAAGGCTGTAACGTAACAAAATGTGGAAAAAGTCAAAGGGTCTGAATACTTTCCGAAGGCACTGTAATTGTATGTGTGGGGGTACAGAGATACATTAAAAAATCATGTTAAACACTATTATTGCACACAGAGCGAGTCCATGCAACTTATGTGACTTGTTAAGCACATTTTTACTCCTGAACTTATTTAGGCTTGGCATAATAAAGGGGTTGAGTACTTATTGACTGAAGATATTTCAGCTTTTCATTTTGTATTAATTTGTAAAAAATTCTAAAAACATAATTCCACTTTGACATTATGGGGAATTGTGTGTAGGCCAGAGACACAGACTCTCACAAAAAAAAGGCTATAGCACAACAAAATGTGGAAAAAGTCATGAATACATTCTGAAGGCACTGGGGGATTAATTGAGACGAAAGAGGCCTTGGAAAATATAATTTCTTCCTACTTTGAGGTAACTTTGGACTTTCATTTTGTCATTCAATTGTTACATAACTTGAATGATAAAAACGGTTTTAAATAAACAGTGGTCTGGTGACTAAGCGGTCCAAATGGGTTACCCTCTCTTCTCAAGCTTGCATGATTCCCACCAATCTCTATGCTATTTGCCTTGAGTTTCTATATGATTCTAACAACGTAATTAACCTTACTTTGTGTTCCATCTCCCACAGCAGGTAGTAAAAAATGTTTTTGATCATGTGTGTGCAGTGAGTAGTGAAGCGCCCCTCACTCTGACGGACATTAATTAATCTCCGGTGAAGACAGCAGGCTAAATAAGTAAGCATTTCACGGTAATATCTACACCTGTTGTATTCGGCGCATGTGGCAAATAAAATTTGATTTCATTTCATTTGAATACTCTGGCCTCACTTTGTCTAACTGTTACTAGGCAGAGTTTCCTTTGGGTAATACTATTACCGTAATAGCTCTCCATTCCTTCTGACTGGTATTCAGCAACTGTAAAGCCTGAGTCTTATAGTTGAATATGTCAATGACACAACAAATATTTCCAATCTCAAATAATATGTTTTATTTTTGGCAGTTTATAGTCAGAACAAAGTGATAACGTTTATCATATGAAAATAGTGACTTTGGGGATTGTCCATTGTTTAGAATGAGAGTCTGTTAGTGGCTGACCTGGAGTCAGATGTAGCCGATGTCATTACAGATAATAGGCTGTCTGCTGCCAGTCTTCATGAGGGCAGTGAACTGATAGAAGTCTGTGTCTAGTTCATGCAGGCCAGAATGGGACTGGTGGAAGAAGGGGGACTGGCGTGGGGCAGGGGCCTGCACCCCTAGGGGGCAGGAGAGTCGTTTGGGGGCCATGGCTGTCCGACTCACATGTGAAGAAGAGTCTGAGGACCTCATCCTCACCCTCCCCTCTACACTCTTTGACATCCCAGCTATTTTCCGCCTCATGTTTACTAAGAAGCCAGAGATGGGCTTCAGTTCTGCTGGTTCAGGGCAGTCCGGTAGGTCCATCCAGTTCTGTATGAGGTCAGCAAAGCTGTTGTCCCCCAGTACCAGAGGTTGTCTGTTCCGTCCCCGTGTCAGCAGTGACGTAGTCCAGTCCTCCGGGTCACTGGCCTCGAATGAGGTCCACCTCTCCAGGCAGGCGTCTGATGTGGATTTGGGCCGGACCAGGTCACTGGAGGCCCGGTTGGTGCGGAGGCAGGCAGAGGAGGACACCCGTACGTTCCTGGTCCTCCTGAGCACCACGGCCTCGTCCTGCCAGGAGGCCTCAGAGTAGCCAGAGTCAAACTCAAGACTCTTCTCACTGCTGGGGGAGGTCAGACCCAGGCCAAGGCCCAGACCCAGCCGGCTGCCTGCATCCTCCTCCTCCTCCAGAGGACTGGCCAGACAGCAGGCTGAGTCGTAGGTGCTGGCCGTACTGGCGTCAGAGATGCGCAGCCGGGTACGGTGCTCCCTCTGCGGTGCTCTCTGATGGCAGGCTCGTGCCACTGCAGAGCGGTGGACCAGGGTAGGGGCAGGGGGGATGGCAGGGGCAGCAGCAGGGCAGGTCCTCCTCAGGTGCTTCAGGTCCTGCAGGGACCTCATCATGTAGTGCATCTGGTCCCGCAGGCAGTCCCCAGAGTCACGCAGACACAGCTGGGAGGGACAGGGGACACGGTCAGACATAGGCTGGTACACACACACTATGACACATTACTATGTTTAGATAAAGAAAACAAAGTCAGTGGTTGAGTGCTATTCTTTTGTCATAGCAAAGATTTTCTATTAAGCCGGTGAATACAAAATCACACAAATGTAGTGTGCTTATTAGAAAGAGCTATTTCTAATAAGCACACTGCATTTGTTGGTGACTATAGTGGAGACCGGCTCTGTAGGGCAGGCACAGACTTGAAGAGTGGGTGACTGCTGCTAAGTTTCGACTGTCTGGAAGAGCTACGCCTCTTCTGTAAACTTGAACTCACACAGCCAAACGGCCGTAAATACTCCCCTCAATCATCCATTTGAGCGGTTAACAACACCTATGCTCTACCTGTACTGCTTTACCTGTCCTGCTTTACCTGTCCTGCTTTACCTGTCCTGCTCAACCTGTCCTGCTTCACCTGTCCTGCACCTCACACCCTTCTCAGAAACAAAACTATCACACCACACTTGACCAGTTTTCATATGGATCCACCCACTCCAAGTTGTTTTAGCAACAACAAAAAATGTTTTATTTTATTTTATTGTTGGACATAAAAGACTGTAAAAACACCAGCAAATCAGCTCCAAGTGATTTTAATTTTGGAAATCTGTTCCAAAGTATTCCCACGCATAATAGAGAGATATATGTGATCATATAGAAATATAGGCATGGTTTGAAATGATAATATTTTTGTCAAATATTATATCTGTTTGGGCTTCTTGCGGTCAGTTTGCAGTCTACAAATTATTTGTAATTATGTTCCGGCCCCCTGACCATCCGCTCAAGAAAAAATTGTGGCTGAATCTAGTTGATGATCCCTGCTGTAGGGGGATGTGCAGGGGGATTGAGGTTTCTCTGATGTAGTTCAAGGCACAGGATGTAGGTATAACTGTGAGTCTCTTTAAAGGTGCGGCATGCCTGCATATGAAAGTCAGCTGTGACACACTAAAGAGCATATACTCTCATTTCCTCTCCCTTTGATTCACAGGGACCCACTCTGATTGGTCCAAACCAACCAGTGAGCAGAGTCGGCTCACACTCAAAATCAAACAGGGTTGACTGAGCATAACGGTGTGTGAACCACGTACAACATTACCTCTGAATGAAAAAGGTGGGCTACAAAACATATACAAACTGATACTTCAAAAAGTGGGATAGAAGAGTAAATCATGTAGTCCTGACAGAAATGTTAACTTAGTTAAAAATAAAACATTGAGAGGATCCATTAAGTCCTTTCATGACAGTGATAATACCTTGCGACAGTACCAAATAGCATTACAATAATAATGATGTCCTGTAATGGAGATACAAGGGAGTGGTTCCCTCTTTCCAAACATTTAGAAAATCTAGTATACTTTAAATGCCCGGATGTCATACTCATTTTGGCTTTGACAACAGCTGATCAATTAGATATGGGTACGCGCTACCGAAATCAACGAATAGCAGGAAACAACGCAACCACGCACGACACATTCTCAGTATGCGAAAATATAATATTGAATAGTATGCCAAACATTTTTTAAATCTAGTATGGTTTAAATGACAGGATGTTATACTAATTTCGGCTCTTCCTCTAGTAGAATTCGATGCACACTTTTCCACAATGAACTGAAAGAGTTGGGCTGCGAGTGATAGGCCCTAGTTCTCTTCAAATAGCCAACAACAAAACTAAGCTACTTAATTGAGAAGATTCCAGAAGCTTCTGTGGTGGTGTTCAAATATAGGCTAAGTAGTTTTTGTTCTCCTTAAAATTATCAGGAGTATTGCATCATAGGCTACATCTACCCAAAGTGGATTTCTGTTTTTGAAAAGTGTTTCTTGTTCTCTTGGCCTTCGTCAGAGCTTTTAAACAAAATACTAAACCATCTTTTGATTTCTGAATGTGGCGGCACCGGGGACTCGATATGTAGCTGTGTTATTGATGTCACGTTAATCAGGCCTGTGCAATAGCCTTTTGAATTTGGGAAAATCCACCCACACTCGGCCCCGCCCCAACTACTCAGCCAATCAGGAGCCGCTACTGCGTTGCAGCCGTGGAATACTGCATACTTTTTACTAGACAATGACGATGAGAAAATAGTATGCAGTTTAAGTATGTAGTACACTAGTATGGGTATACGGACATGGCCACCGTACCTTTACCTTCCATACCTTTATGGGGGACTGATCTGAGAGTGAGGTGAGAAATGTTTAGCAGACCAGAGGAGGAGAAACATGGAGCCCTCTGAGACACAGGTTTATATCTGACCATAGAGGTCACATCCAGTGAATGAACAGTCCTGTTCACCCCACAGTCCTCTCTTTCCTGTCCTGTCAGTGTGTGTGACCCTATGCCCTTTCATGCAGTGGGTAAGTGCCCCAACTCCTCTATTATCCACTGAAGCATTTGACCCTGTGCCAAGACCTTCTGCCTCTGTTTGCTCTCATCACAACAATGTTAGATACAGCGGGAACTTGAGAATGCAGCCACAACACAGGTTGTGTGGTACACTCATAGACACAACAGACACAACTTGCTTATAAAAGTCAGACTTATGCAGGGATGATTTTCCTGCAGGGATGATTTTTTTGTTGCCAAAATGGACAAAGTGGTAAAACCACATGTATAGTTTCAAGAGATAGGCCTCCACAAAGGAAAATACCCTTTACAGTTACAGGAAATTATGATGCCCTTTTCATACAGTGAAAATGAAAAGTATATCTAACAAATTAGACACCCATCTGCCTCATAGATTTAGAGCACATTAACAAACTGCCATGTGTTTGTTTAACTGACTCATGGCATAGCCTACAGTGGATAGCATCACTCTGGAGAGGCATTTGGGTATTTAGTCAGACATTATGCGTGATAACGCCGTCTGTGCACAGAGCGTTGTTGCCCTGCAGATGTTGTCCCTATATGCTGGTGTAAAACCCCATCATTTCAGGGACAGACAGTTCATTTAGTATCTTGTAATACAATTGGGCTATTTAATTTTAAATATGGTAGGCCTATAGTTTATCTAATTCATTGCCATTTTATGCACAGAAAAATTACAATTGGAGCAAACTGAGCATAAACCAATTTCAATGCCATTGCCTACTACTGTACTGTATTGCATGGCAGTCTATGCTTAGGTGACAGAATGGAAAAATACTTACCATTTTATTTATTTCAGAGTGACCGTCACAATTAACTCCTGAAAGAGAAAATACGAGGAGATGAATTCCTGCAAGTTTTAGTCTAAAATACAGTAAGAGCAAAATCCATCATAATTGTAGCCTATAATCCACTTTAACTAGTCTGTTAATACTCACATTTGATATGGTACGTTGCATCCAGTTTGACATTAATCCATAAAGGGTTGATATGTTCCCATAAGGAAGTCAGTTTTGCGCACAGCTGTTGGTATGAATCCTCGGGACTGAAGGCGCACTGTGAAGTGTAGTGATTTTGTCAGATTCGTTTTTTTTCCAATGTGCACTCTCCAGCCAGTTAGAGCGTTGCATCTCTGAAGCAGCCAATCCGAGTTTGAGATCTGAGCAAGTGAATTAGCAAATCATCACCTGTTATTTATGCACATCTGGACATACTGTATCATGCGCAGGACTGAATAGAAATAGATTCAGATAGTCATCGGTGGCATAAATTGCATATTAAAATAGGCCTACTTGGTCATAAAAATGTAGCCTATCATAGAGCTATGTATTTAATAATAAAAAATATTAAATAAATGACAGATGTGTGCAAATGTTTGTGTTATCTTTTTTGTACTAAACATGCCCGCTTTTTTATTTTATCCCTAGGGTTTAGGCTACTATAATTATCCTCCTATATGTTTGTTTTTTTACATAACATAAGTGTTTGGGGTGAGAATTAAAACATATATATATATATAAATATATATATATATTGTTATTGATCTTTTATTGTAAGTAAAAATGTTCCTCTGTAGTGGTCATTAGGACATTAATATGAAACATTTTACATTACAGTCAATGGGTACAGTAGGTGAAAAACATAGTTGCGGCATCCGGGTGTCCACTACAGAGGATATTTCTTGATAAGCTCTTATTTAATGTTTTAAAATTATTAAACAGTCCTGACAACTCACTTAACTATTCCTGAGACATTCACTTACTAGAAACAATTTGAATATCAAACTCACAAAAAAATGGATAATTGCACACACTTCTTTTCACATTTCCATAAAATGTGCTAATTTTGATGGCAGCCATTTTTTAAGAACCAGGAAGATAAAGTTGTCAAGGTCACACCCCTGCACATGTGATATCATTGAAAAGCCCAGAATGTACATTTACGTCATTTAGCAGACGCTCTTATCCAGAGCGACTTACAGGAGCAATTAGGGTTAAGTGCCTTGCTTAAGGGCACATCGACAGATTTTTCACCTAGTCGGCTCGGGGATTAGAACCAGTGACCTTTCGGTTACTGGCACAACACTCTTACCCACTAAGCTACCTGCCGCCCCAGGTAATGTCCTCTCAAAGGGACAACAGGACTTAATACAGTGTCTTGTATGGCTTCAGAGATAGGGACCAAGAACTGATGTCCACTAGAGAGGACAAAAATGAATTGCTGGGTCTCAGGAGGATAAATATAGACCAGAAATTATTTAGGCGTCTCTACAGCCTGGTCTCATAGACTAGACGTGACATAGTAAATGTAAATCCAGGACCCTGAAATTAGTATGATATGTTACGTTTGGTATAGTCACATAAGACAGAAGGTTACTTAAGGCAAAAACAAAAGTAGGGTTGTTGGTCGGCGTGGGCGTATAAAGAGAACATCTAGCAACCCAAAGGTTGTGTGTTCGAATCTCATCACGTACAACTTTAGCTAATTTGCTACTTTGCAACTACTTAGCATGTTAGCTAACCCTTCCCCTAACCACAACCCTTTAACCTAACTCCTAACCCTAACCTTAACCCTAACCGTAACCCCTAACCCCTAGCCTAGCTAACATTAGCCACCTAGCTAACGTTAGCCACACAAATTGGAATTCGTAACATATCACACGTTTTGCTAATTGTTGAACATTTTGTACGATTTGCAATTCGTAACATGTTGTACTAATTGCAATTCATAACATATCATATGAAATGTAATTCGTAACATATCATATGAAATGGATGATGGACATCCACAACTGAATACATACTATACAAAACATAACATATCATACTAATTGGAGTGTCCCGGATTTACTTTACCATGTTACATCTATCCCTGAGTCCAGGTTGGTCTCTGAGGTCACATGAGTGAAATTAGTCACAAAGATTAGTCTCTGGGAGAACCCTGCGGAACCAGCAAACCAAATGGGAAACAGTTAAATCTGTAAAGTGTGTGAGGCTGCATTGTGCTCTTGCTGATGATTTTAACTCATGATTTTACGGTATGCCAGCAAACGGAACTCAATTGACTGGTCAAAATTAAATCAGCCATGAAAACATTTTCAAATTTGCCCTATATTGTGGAGGCTCCAACGGAATGTCATCTACAGTATAAGTACATTAAATAACATACATGTAAGTGCTTTAAAGCGCCAAGTTGAAACAATAACAAAGCAATCTCCCTGCCCCTGTTTCGGTAAAAAGCTAAGGGATGGGGCTGGAGAAATGGAACCACTCTCAAATTCATATATCAAAATTAGAGTTTTAACCATGTTTTCAGGCTATTTAGTTTTTGTTTACATTTCCTTTGTTTACAAACATTGGAGTAAAACAAGCTTATATTTTGTGTTCTGATGGGGTACAATGGTTGCACTAAGCTCATGAAGCATTTATAAGTGATATTCTTCAAGAATCAATGGGTACAATCAATGGGTACAATCAATGGGTACAATCATGTCCACCATCCTGGCTGTCTGCCCTGGAGTTGCCTTATATGTTGACTTGGTGACATTATGGTGTATGGGGAGGATGCAACCACACATGACAAGCGCAGAAGACAAGTGTTCACTACAATGAACCAACACAGCCTGACACTCAGTGACAATAAATGTCTTCACACACAGTATAATAAGAATTGCACCTCTCCAATATCAATGCGTGGTCCTCTGTAGCTCAATTGGTAGAGCACGGTGCTTGTAATGCCAGGGTAGTGGGTTCGATCCCCAGGACCACCCATACGTAAAAATGTATGCACGCATGACTGTAAGTCGCTTTGGATAAAAGCGTCTGCTAAATGGCATATTATTATTATTACATGTAATTAATTTATGTAGCAATGGATGTAGCAACTGCAGAATGCCCCTTTAAGTATATTGTGCACAAACATTTCTGAAATGACAGATTAATTAAATATTTGAAAATTATAGCGCATGAAGGTTGCCACAGTAATAGAAATGTATAGGTCCACATATGTCGCCATCTAGTGAGATAGATGCTGTACTGTATAGAATGCCACAGAGCAGGTGATAATCACCTACTGTCAATGGGTCTTCAGCATTCATTTGCAACATTTTTGTAATGTATTGTTATTCATGTCAGTGTTAAGGTGAGCGATGTATAGTAGACTATCACTGTTAATTGGACAAATCCAAATTTGATAGTCTACTATTCATGTGCAGATGTACACATCTCATCAACCATGATGTGACCAGACTGTGTAGAGTGCATCATATGTGACATGTCTCAACCTGCTTCTACAACTTGTCCTTTTTGGGGGGAAGTGAGTAGTTTATTTAGTCCACACATATTTTCCCATACAGTGTAAAATCAAATATATAACCTAGTTCTCCAGATGCCTGACAACTCAGTCTGGTAATGGTGTTTTACTAAGTACGCCTACTTCTAATGTAGTCCACTAAAACCAGCCCCAGCTACCTCATTGACATCTTATAGTGCCCATGGGGCTGATTTTATAATGATGTGCCATGTGTGAATTAAGAAATTCACAAGATGTTCCCATCTTTGCTTTTAGGGTCTTTTGTGTGTTTTTGTGAAAGGGCCCCTGATTTCTATAAAAGGGTCCCTCTTCATAATTGAATAATGTCTCTGAAAAATTGTCCATTAACAACTGCACACCTCAATGATAAACCTTTCTATGTCTCTAATAGCAACTGTAAATGCCTCTCCCCATACATTTTGGATCAATTATGTCTGTTTTTATCTACATGCATTAGGCCTAAGTAATTACACTGTGCCACTTTGAGTGGGTTTTTGACCATTACTGCATTACGACGGATCGAAATGTCAATTCATTTTAGGAACATCCAGGCCTTTCCTTCTCCCTCCTTGGTTTACAGAGTATATCTAATGTGTCAGTCAGTATACACGTATTGCTATGGCATTTTCATGTGTTGCCCAGTCTCTGTTCTGTTCCTGTTAATATGACCTAGATAATACAACATGTTATCAGTTCATATTGACTTTAGGATCATAAATGTGTCAAGACCAGGCAGAGCTGATGTGGTCATGTACTTTACGTCTGAGGAGGGGTATGTTTGTTTGGTAACCAGGGCTGAGGAACACAGAACATACAGCCATACTAGCTCTACTAGGTCTGCCCAGTTCTACACAGTCCAGATAATCAGCTTTCCCAGTCAGCCTTAACCTCCAACTATGGGTGTCTACAATCTCCTCTGTCTCCTGCTCCTACCATCTTTTTTACAGCTTCACATTTTGACCGGTGAGTTCATTAAGATCTGTCTATAACATACATCTTTCAGTTGGACGTATCGATGAATGGGTACTCGTGCTCGTGAAAATGTGTCTTCATGAATCTACTCCGATAGACAAGCTGTAGATGGACATTATAACTAAAAGCCCAAGTTTCTTTATAATCAATTGAAAATAGGACTTCCGAACAAGTTGAGACTATTTGCATATGTAGTGGAGAAACCTGATTTTATACTGCCACAGCTGTACAATTTTGTGAAGTCAAAAGTCTGATGAGATACTCTTCAAATGCTCTTATTAATTTAACTTATTCTGTGCTGTTCATTGTCTTAAGGAGCACAAGTTTCCATAGCGACTGGTGAGTTACCTGTGTCTGCTGTCAACTCAAATCAAATCAAATTGTATTTGTCACATACACGTGTTTAGCAGATGTTATTGCGGGTGAAGCGAAATGCTTGTGCTTCTAGCTCTGACATTGCAGTAATATCTAACAAGTAATATCTAACAATTTCACAACATATACCCAATACACACAAATCTAAGTAAGGAATGGAATTTAAGAATATATACATATATGGACAAGCAATGACAGAGCGGCATGGACTAAGATACAGTAGAATATTATAGAATACAGAATATACATATGAGATGAGTAATGCAAGATATGTAAACATTATTAAAGTGTTCCATTTCTTAAAGTGGCCAGTGATTTGAATAGGCAGCAGCAGCCTCTAGTGTGCTAGTGATGGCTATTTAACAGTCTGATGGCCTTGAGACAGAAGCTGTTTTTCA